GGATTTCACACTTTTATTCTTATATTTTAGTGTTTTTTTCTTGTTTCTTATTTCTTGTTTCAGTTTTCCCGTTTTGATACATTTTCTTTGGCTTTCGTTTTATATTTGCTTACTTTTTACTTTTTACTATTTTTAATTATCTCTGTTTCATTATTCCGTTCAGTGTTAAATAAATCATATAAAGATTTTAATGATTAGGGCGAGCACTTGTATCAACGTCATTTTTGGTACTATTTTACTCATGCACATTATTTTGATTTTTTTTTTTACATGTTTCCCATGTGGGTTATATTTTGTATATTTTACTTTTAAGTTAAAATGTATATAGTGGCGTTACAGTCAGTCTCCCCCCTCTTTCGGGTGCCGCAAAAAATAAACAATTCGGGAAAGACCGCAGCAGAGACACGGTGTTTATTTTCCACCCCTTTTTCTAAGTGAAACCGGCTCTACGCCCTGGAAACCACTAAGGAAGATAATTTAAGTTTCAGGTTGCTTTGTCTTACATATAGGAGTTGGATGTGATCTTATTTTTTATATAATAATTATCAGTATTAGTTACATTTTACAAGTTTTGATTTTGCTTTAGTTTAATATACATTTTTTACGTTGCATTTTCTTGAATCCTATACATATGCATACTTATAAAGAACCTTTCATCTTATTGTTTTACTTTGTCTTTTTATTCCTTTCACGTAACTCTTAAAGCTGATTTTTACCTTAGTTTTAATTACTTGTTTGTGTTGTGACATTATTGTGCGACGGAGGGGGTAATGCTGGAGCAAACCCTCGCTGAAATAAGCTCAAGCCATAAGACCACTTCATGGGGCGGCCTATATTTTTTTCCAATAACATTTGTAAGAAAACGTGAAACTTTGCATCTCAGATATTCCGTCACAGAAGGAAACCTTTCGGCAAGACGGAGAGAAGTGGAGAAGACTTCCAGGGAACGGCCGTCAGAAGAAGCAGGCACAGTAATAGATGCTATAGACGACAGTAATATGGGTAACTGGGAGCGACTGCAGCGGCACAATGGCCGGAGGAGCTGGTCGCCATCCACCCGAAAGACCAGTGGGTATAGGAAGCACACCCAAGGACTTGGTGGGCATTGGACCGTCAGAGCTGCCGTCCGAGGTTACGAAGGAAGAGCTGCTGTTCCGAGGTCGTGCTGGAGGAGCTTCCATCTGAGGCGTTGCCTGCCGAGGTCGTGCCAGAGCTGTCGTCCAAGGTCGCACCGGAAGATCTGCCAACCGAGGTGGCGCCATAACTGTCCCGTAACCTTCGTTTTGTGTGCTTTCCTCCCTGCTTTTCCATGTGACCTCTCCTGCCCTGCTGGATACTCCGCCTTGTATATATCCTTGCTCTGTTGTGTATTGTACATAAGGTTTGCCAGTAAAACCTGTTGTAAGTTTGCTTTGGTGTGTTTCTGTTGACCTGACCGCTCTCATTCCTAAAACATACCCTGCCAGTTGTCTTAGACGGTGGGTTATAGATGCTGAGATTAACAGCCTTCCCAATGCTGAGAATATTAGGATCTGAAGTTTTGGCAAGGTGTCGCTATTTTTGGCCTACAGAATGTAGTCTTCCTGAGGAGTGATCTTCATGGAAACATGGGGACGGAAGAGAAAACCTTCAATGGATAAAGAGAAATCGGATTTTGAAAGGAGCTGTTGATGTTTCTGTCAGGGAGTTAGTTATCTGTGGTCCTAACGCAGCCATTAGCGAAACTGGAGACCTGACCCTCTGTATCGGGTCCAATATTACAGCTGATGATTCGGAGGGTTTCTCACATACTTGTACACTAGGGAGAGTGAAGTGGCGAGAAACAATAACCGAAGTGGGGGAAAATCAAAACTTTGATCTCTTATGGGGCTCATCCGTTTTTTTTTTTTTTTTTTTTTTTTTTTTGTCGATTTTGATGAAACACTTTTATTTAGGCCCCGTCCCTTTGCCTGTGGTAGATTTTTTTTCTTCTAGAAATCGGCCAAACAGTTTTTGAATTATATAAAAAAAAAAAAACGAAAAATGCGAAAGCCGCCATGTTGAAAATGCAGCACCTAGGTAAAAGGTTTCCAACTTCAGAAACGATGTCATTCAATTTTACAACTTTGTAGATTTTTCGATGTCGACTTAATTTTTTTTTTTTGGGGGGGGGGAATTTTTGAAGTAGGGGACTTCACAAAATAAAAAACAGTAAAAATTTTCTTACATTTCTCACTTTCACAAGAAGTACAGGCAAACATTGCAAATCCACAAAGAACAAGTTGTAGATACTTTATTTTTCTACAAAACGAGCCATATGTTAATTTTGGACATATGTTGTACCCGGAATCCTTTTACCCACCCCTAAAGGTGTACCGAGATATCGACATTTTTCGTTTTCCTCATCTTTTCATGATTATTTTGATATTAACAAAACAAGGTATAAGAGTAGCCTTACTAACCCACAATCCTGTCAATTACCTGCATTCCAAAGTCTTCTGGACATTGCCAGCACGTAACGGTTTCTCAAAATCTTATGTAGAGTGTAGAGTGGTCGCAGTGACCTTGGGTGTCTTTAGGCCTACATTGACCATTTAAAAAGGCCCTCAAATATCCCGCCAACAAAAACAGACAGCCATTTCCGATTTCATGTCTGAATAGAACTATTATATGCAGAAGCCATTTTTTGAGAAGTCGACCTTACTTTTTTGTGAATATTTTCCGTAGCTCACTATCACGACACCCTAAAAAGGGATACTGAAAATATGTCACTTTTATAAGAAACATATGACATTATAGCAATTCCTTATTACAGCATGTAATTGATATACTATTCAGCTACAAAATGAGACATATGTTAAAATCGGACTGAAAATACGTGTGCTATGCATAAAAAAGTGAAGAACCCAAACATCCTAATCTTTTTCCTTTTCATTATGTCTACCTTTTACAAGACAAATCATGCACGAAGTACTTGTATATGGTATAATTATCTATTAATTTACCTTTATTGTTGCTCTAATGGGCTTTTACAACGTATAATACTGGTCGAAAAAAAAACCGTTCTCCAGTCATACGTGTATCATACGCGTCCTTTTCTCAGCGCGTCCGGGCATCAAAGCATATATGACGCATGTTCTTTGCATCTGTGAATCACTAGTGTTAAACTCTGCGGGACCACGTAGCCAATTTTCACACTCAGACTCCAGTGAAAAGACGAAAAACGCGCAGGGGCGGTGTATAAATATGTATATGTGATATGTAAGCATATATAGATCATTTTCGTGTACCCCATGAGTTTTAGTTTATTCATATCGTTACTTCCGTTTGTTTCTTTGTTTGTTTTTTTGTTTCTTTGTGTTTTCTGATATTTCTAAAAGTTTATGAACACATTTTAATGAGATTTTAATCAAAGGTGTGTCTTAACCTAACTTAAGATGCTGATTGCACTTTGGTGGAGATGCGGACCATGGTTTGGATCCATAAATATTTTTTTCTAACTCAAAAAGTTATGAACAGATTTTAATTAAAATTTTACCTGAGGTTTGTCTTACCCTCATAAATATTCCATACATTTTGGTGATCCGGATCATTTAGCAATCATACCCCGCCACTAAGGGGGGGGGGCAAGTTTGTATTTTCGAAATTTTTGCTCATAGATAAAACTATTTGTGATGAAAATTATTCCGAAAAAATGAGGGTTGGTCTCATCTTACGTGAAATTGAATAAGCTTTCAGAAAATAATCCCATTTTTTTATTATCTAATCATTGCGTCACAATTACCGATTTTCTAAGGTAACATGAAAAAAATAATATTTCAGTCGACATAGAAAATGGCTGCTAGCACCTAAAAAATAACGGTTGGGTCTTGAAATTTTCAGGGGGGAACTGGGGGCCTAGGAACTCCTTGAAAATGTATTTAACTCAATTTCGGCAAGATGGGCGAAAATCGCCGAAAAAGACCAGACGGTCCCATAATAATGCAATTTCGGGCATTTGGACGCGAATACTCATATATGGATATATAATTATATACATATATACATATATATATATGAAAATATATATTAACAACAATATAAATGTTCGTCATATATATTAGGTTGAGAGTCTTTAATATATGGTAATCATTGTACTTACTGAAATCTGAAAAACACATCCGCTAAACTTTGGGGAATCTATTCGGTGGCATGATCGCTGCCCGAGATGGTGTAATATAAGTCTAAAAACTAAATATTTGTTATTTACACATCATTAAAATGAGAACCGTACAGTATATTCTAATAGCGTTTGAAAATAATTCTGATCCAATGTTCGTGTTCACATATTTATAAAATATCATTTTGCAGGGCTTGGTGCCTTGCTTGGTCTGTATAAACTTGTATAGACCTTGCTCCTCGCTGGCGTTTATTCCAATACTATGCGTTAACCGGGCGGGGGGGGGGGGGAGCCACCTGTAAAATTTTAATACGGAAAAGTCCGAGGGGGAAGTGGTTCTGGGGAAAGTTCTCCGCCGGAGCGTTTAATAATACGACTGACGGACTCCGGAATTTGTCTTTGACAAAAAAGTCGTTGACTGATACTGTCGATTTTTATCTGTGACTTGGCTGAGGTTTACGACAGCAGGTCCGAAGGTGTCCCACAGCAAGAGACACTACCAACAATACTATGATTTTTTATAGTTGGTATAATTTCACAAGGGAAACTTCCCTGACACCTTTTTATTTATTGTCAAACGTTATCTGGGACATTTATTATTTTTTTTACCACAATTTTCTTGTAAATACAAATGGCAGTGTTAATATAGTGTACATAGTGTTAACTTGGAAATGTGGCAACAATGCGGGTCACACACAAAATAGCCTAGGACAGTCTTTAGACTGAGTTCTTCACAAATTTTGGATTCAAAGACATATATATATATATATATATATATATATATATATATATATATATATATATATATATATATATACACCCAAAGAAAGCAGCAGCTGACTTCTTTTAAGTATTTACTTACCTGGTTGTGACTGCTGGAAAGAATGTTGCTGTGCTTGGTGATGGTTGCAAATGTTTGACTGGATACCAGGGCACGTAATCTCATTTCTGCCTCCTGCTATAAAGACACTTCCAGCAAACCCACTTCTCTCTGGATGCACAGGTGCATTTCTCAGGAGTTTCGGCTCCACCCATGACTGCTGGACAAATGCAGGTATGGAGTGAGTTGTAACAGGAATGCATTGCCCTAGGCGAGAGCTAGAGTGCAATGAATGTGCAGCATGAGGGTGCACCATCCCACGACTAGCAACAGTTTCTTGGTTACAAAGCACATGGTTGCTAGACCTGGAGCTTACAGATGCTGGTGTGACTGTCGTGGTTAGAGAAACAGATGTCTGGCAAATTTGCGAGGACAACGGCTGGAATGCTGAAACATAATTGTGGGTTTGGGTCTTGTGCTTGTCAGTCAGAGCATCAGTTTGGGCCAGTTGAGCAGCAGACGAGGTTCTGCTATCGCCATCCTTTTCCGTCACCCAGGATTTCTGTGAAACAAGAAGTCATATAGAGTTTGTTGTACTGATGGAACCTACAGCCGGCTTCAAAGAAAATCATCATACTTTTGTTTCCTCACCCCACCATGTATTTTATTATCATCATCTGAGCTCCCAGATAATAGTGAAAGAAAAAACATGGCCTGATACCCGAAAATCATTTGTCGAGCCATGTGACTTCAGAGCATCTCGCCAAGGTAATGGTCTAGCCACATGATTTAATTCCCTTCAAGGGAATGCCCTGCCAGAACAAACTCGCTTCAACATATCTTCTGATGCCTGTAGAAATGGGCAACCGTGTTTAACTGCTGTAGGAGCAAGCGCAGCGTTCTCAGATATATTTTATAGATTGCTAATATGTCTCTCACTGCTGTACTCTTTGTACTCGGACAATGAGTCAAAGTCGATGAGCTTCTCAAGACCACCACTACGCTTGCAACGCCTCTGTATTACACCCCTTATTGAGCGGCATTTTGTAATATCTATGATAACCTGTATATGACATTTTATGGTACAACTATAGTATCACATTTCTCTCTTCGTATCTTACAAAGCTCTTATTACCTGTAGACATGCGTATTATCTGCAAAAATACTAGGAATCATGTACCCAAGATTCATATAAGACATGCAGCTCCACTTCCATTTAGCCTATTGAACCTAAAAATGAAACTGGCGTTGCCCCTTAAGTCTCCTGGTTGCTGTTTATGATATGGAACATTTGGTTATCATTAATAATAGTTTTTTTTTCATTTATGTCCAATAATTATAGCAATATCTAGTAAACTATCCAAATAATTATGGGTCTACTTGTACCTGATAACTTATGGCGCTTCATGATTGGCTAAACAGGATTGTCATTTGCTCTGCCCCTTTTTGCCCCGGTCAATCTGTGTGATTTTCTTTGAAAATAGTTTTGTAATAGCAATGGAAAACATCATAGGAAAATAAACGAAGAAAAAGAGAGAAAAAAAATGAAATTCATGACAGCAAAGGAGAGCGTCTTAGCTCAGCAGTAGTCAACTAGGATTTTGACTGAGATAGTAGCGTTACCTGTATTATATAGTTCCTTGCAAGTACAAATCCAAAGTTCCTTTTGCCATGCCTCAT